ATCTGTCAAGAGTGATGAAGCTAATAACCCTTGAATTTTTCAGCTAAAGGCATCAAGCAGCTGGATGAACCCCAAACTGATCTGAGAGCAATTTTAATGTAACATCCCATAAAACTCTTGCCATATTCTAGAATTTTGGATTGAAGAGTCAAACCCATCAACTACTAATGGGAGTTTCCTGAATAACTTTGGACCAACCTCTCTTCCTGGGTATAAGGGTGGCAGTAGGATACATGCATCAAAAGAATAATTTGGGGTTCCAACTCAACCTGTCAGTGATACTGCCATTGATTTGGGAGGAGGGGGGCCTCGGAGTTAAATCACTAGCTGTGCCTGTAACAACTGAGTTTTACAACTTTACAACTGTTTTCCTGCCACCGGAAGACTGAAGGTCCCAGCACTTCTGGAGGGATGTTTATGATGGCCATGTGGGATATCTTACTTTAATGTTTAACTAGAGATAGCCATGGGAACGTGTGTTTTATTCAACTCTCAAGGCAGAAGAGTTAAGGAAACATCTTCACACCTGTTGTATTGGTCAGAATCTGCATTCGGACAAAGGGGAGGGGTCATTTACAGTTTAATCCCACTTGTATTGCCTAAAGGGTTTCAGATGCTGCTTTGCCTCTAATGGTTTTCCATCCTGCTTGATTAAAGGTTCCTTTTGAAATAATCCCTTTCAAGAGTCTTTACTTTCTTAAGTTAGGAGAGGAGCCATTACAGCACCTTTGGGACATTCAAGTGCAGACTTTTCAGAAGTCGTGTGGTAGGCTCCGCTCAATGTTGATTGCATTCCTCCAGAAAGGAATTGGGGGTATTATTGCTTGGAATGGGATAACTTGCCATGGTCAACCCATCATGGCCAACCCACCACTGCCAATTCGCCCTGAGACATTTCGCTGCAGGACAGTTCAACAATTCAATTGAGTTATTGTAAATATTTTAATGTTTGTCATTCTCAATATTTCATTCTTCCTTTTGCATCCTTTTGTTTTGGCCTGTCGGCCGCCGGCCCCTCCAGCTGCCGAATCAAATGAGGAGGAGGCGTGGGAGTTGGGGGGTCAGCATCAAGGCAACCTGAGGTCCTTGAGGGAGAAGAGGGAATGGAGCTGGCAGAGATAGAGATAGAGATAGAGATAGAGATAGAGATAGAGATAGAGATAGAGATAGAGGTAGAGGTAGAGGTAGAGAGATAGACAGACAGACAGACAGACAGATATATATATAGAGAGACAGACAGACAGACGGGAAGCCTTGGCCGGCCGTCATCCCTCAGATGGAGAGTCAACAGCCCCCAGGTCTGGAGGTGACCGATGAGGAAGTGGAGGAACAGCTGGGTCCAGTGCCTGACATGCAGATGTGCAGAGGCAGAGGAGAGGAGAGGAGAGCAGTGGAAATCAATCCTTGGGCAGGAAGAGCCACTGCTGCCAGTGAAGCTGGGAATAAAAGGCAGGGGGTGGAGAAGAATAGATGTAGCAGACAACTCTTCATCACTCCTACTAGACAGACTTGTTAGCCTGTTGTTCAACTGTGGTTGTAAAGCGAGGACAACCTGCAGTTAATCTGAGATTATCGAGGGAGACTGAAGTTTTTGTGACTGCATGGATAATAGCAATAGCAGTAGACTTATATACCGCTTCATAGGCCTTTCAGGCCTCTCTAAGCGGTTTACAGAGAGTCAGCATATTGCCCCCAACAATCTGGTAAAGGGATGCAGCGACTTAGAACTGAGGATAAATTTCCTGACT